TTTTTTTTTCATAAAATCGAATTTTAAGAAACCAAAATGTGGTGCAAATTGTAGCGAAATTCGAATGTTCTTGCTAAAAACGTTGCCAAAAATCCAAATTTCAATTTTGTTCTTTTTCCTTCGTCCAGTTTCTAGTTTGAAGTATTCACTAAAAGACCCTATTTTTTCAACAGAAAAACCCCCACCGTTTATAAGTTCTGCTGTCAACGCGAAAACACTTTTTTTTCGGTGGGGTCAGCGGAAATGACGTCGCAATGGCTGAGTTTTAAAATATTTTTCAAGCAAAAATTCAGAAAATCTTCTTTAAATATGTATCTTAAATACTATAAAAAGTTTGAATAAGAATTCCATTTTTTATATAGAAAAAAAAAATTGTTGAAAATATGCTACTTTTTCCCCGGTGTAAACCCATGTAACCCCTTAATACGAATTTGATTTCAACATATCTTTCTTATTTCATTTCTACGAGTTAGAAATTAGATAAACATAAATTTACCAATCCCATCATTTTATACAATACAAATATATATTTAACATTTATTCGATTAATTTTATTTTTACATAATAATCATTGAAAAAGTATAACAGTTTGTGTTTAACGATAATTATCGAAAGATCCAATTGACAAAAATTCAATAGAAAAATGATTGATTATTTATTAATTAGAAATTTGATGAAGATTCATTTGGTAACCTTTTGTGTTGTCCTTTTTTTATAGAATGCAAAATATACACGAGCCAATAAATGTAACACCTGGTTTATTTATTAATCAAGAGGACGAATCATCCTATCAAAGTGTCATTTCTTTCGATGATTATACAAACGAGAATAATATTAATGAATCCAATATGGCGAATGGGTAAGCCGATGAACTTAAAAAATAGATGAAGGAATTCGATATCTCGTTCCGATATTCAAATCGATACCGAATGTCAACCATTGTCTTCTATTGCAATATTAACCAACTTAAAAAAATCAAAAGAGAGAGAAAGAGACAAAGAAAGAAATATTTACTATATAAAAGAAAGATAGATAGATAGATAGATTGGATAGATGAAATAAATGATTGCAGAAATTTGCAGTGCGGTACTGCGGCTGGTTAAGTTCGTTCGCGTGTTAACCGCGGTCTAAAAAATCCCTAACGGTATCACCCTATGTTAGGTTTACCAAACTCTGACGACATTTTATTCGATACAATCATTTTATTTTTATTCAATCATATTTTGTTGAAATTAGTAAATTATTCATTTGGTATCTTTGTTTTTTTTTTACAAAATCATCATTTGTTTTCAGTGCTTAAATTCATAGAAAATTCTCATTAAACATTTTTGGATTATTTGAATTTAATTGCTAATGTATTAAGTAGTCCAATTAAGATAATATTTTTATAGTTTCTTGGTAAGATTATCTTTTAAATATCGGTTAACTCGTTGGTGGTATGTTTTGATAATTATTTTATAAGAAGTGGTATGCAGAATTGCATAAAAATCGATTACACGTTTTCTGCATTTCTTTTTTTATTATTTCCTCCCCGATCATTTGAATTAATGCGAATGTTTGTAAAATTATTCAATTAATTTGATCTCTTTTCTGAATCTTCATATTAAAATTATCTTTCAAAGAAAAAGAAAGAGAGAGAGAGAGAGAGAGAGAGAAAGATTGAATAGAAAAATAATTTGCTGATAAGTTGTCGTGGTTACGTCCAGATGTTCGTTTCAATCGTCACAAGTATATACGACAAATGCTTGTATATATATAATGAGTGTGTAAATGTACGTGTATGTATATGTGTGTAAGAGAGACTTTCACGAGCATACATCCTGCTCACTGGATCGTAAGTACGTAGATCCTATTTGATTACAACTCGTGCTATATCGAGTCGTGGTTACGTCTCTGATCGTGACTCATTCTGCTTTGTACATTTACATATATGTATATATATGTGTATGCATATATATAATATATATATTGTATATATATCTATTATATTATTTATATATATATTACATTATATAATTATATATATTAAATAATAAA